GACACAGATAAATAAAATTCCTTCCTCTTCAGTCTAAGTCTTATATTAATATCATGATTAATTACCACTGATTCCCCACTCCTCTAACATAGCCCTTCCATCAATCAATTCACCAACTAATCAATGATCATTTATTAAGCTCCCACTAGATGGCAAGCACCAGGGACACAAAGAATGAAACAATCTTTACTCAAAAGGAGCTTATGTTCAATTTAATTTTTTTCAATTAATAAGCATTATTGTCTCTTCCTCTTTTCTGTTAACTCAAACCAATCACAGAGAAAGCTCAGTTTTCCTTTTTGACTCAGCAGACAAAGCGGCAGTCACTCCTTGCTTGACCTATGGTTTCCCCAGGGACAGAGGCCTCTTCAACAATTAAAGTAGATCCTGGGATGGTTTTTCTCATTTCAGTTTTTACAAGGGTTATGTGCTGTGGGTGTACAGCGATGATGGACAGCCTAGATTCCAGTGATATATTGCTGTATAAAATAAGTTAGATTCAGTGTCCCCAGACGGTCACCCCTCTGTACTGCCAACCTCAGCCCTGCTGGTGACCTTCTATTCCACTTATCTCCCTGTTTTCTTCAGAGGTCAGCCTTTCATAGCTAGTTACATGGCCAACGAGATACCTTCTAATTTTAACGTTCTCTGATAGTATAGCCCTTTTCTTTTACATTTGAGGAAACTGAGGCACAGAAAGGTCACAGACATTGGCTAGCTCGAGATCACTAGATGGTAGAGAAAGGATTTGAACCTATGTCCCCACTCTGTGGGGGTAGGCATGGCAAGTATAACCCTCATTATGTAACTTTTTTATAACTCTTTTTTCAAATAACTGAGGATCAAAGAGGTTAAGGATTTTCCCAGGGTCACACAACTAGTAAGAGCCTGAGGCATGATTCTTTCTGACTCCAAATCCAGCCTTTTGATTTAAAAGCCAACGATTTTTTCCATTGTAAACTGGGCTGCATGACAGGAACAGTGACAAATGTCCTATTACCTGGGACTATGGAAGAATGTATGTGGGTATGAAATCATGGTGTGTGTGCATATGGACAGAAGGGAAAGGTCAGGCATGAGAGCAGACCACATGTCCCCTCAAACTGCAGTGCTAAATAACAGAGGAGAAGACAGAGCAGCTGCAGCCCTGGTTCTTGGGGGTGACCACCTGGGAAGCGCTCTTCAGGATACATTATTTCCCTGAGCTGGTAACAGATGGCTGGGCAGGAGCAATCACCCAAGATACAGTTAATTGACAGGGTAGCAGAAGGGACCCAGACTTGGAAAGCCTTGCCTCAGCTGCCTGCGCAGCAAAACCTAGCCATTGGGAGTCCTTAGGATGACCCAAGACACGCTATATCTCCCACAGCATGTGGATAGGGACCTCTCGGTGCATACACAGCCTCCTTCATCAGCTAGCCCCAGCACTGCCTACGTCTCATCCAGGCCTCATACTTCATATTCAGGGAACTTTTTTTTTTTAAGAGAGAGAGAGACAGTGAGTGCATTGTTGATAAAAGAATGCTGGGCTAAGGGTCAAAGGAGCTGGGTTTGAATCTTAGCTTCCTGTGACTTACTAACCCCATGTGACAAAGTCACATCACCTGTCCAGGTAATGTGATATGGTGGAGGGAATGCAGGATTTGAAGTCAGGATTCCTGCTTCGTGCTCCAGCTGTGTGACCATGAGCAAGTTAATTAACAACTTCTCTGATCTTCAGTTTCCTCACCCATAAAATGGAGGTCATACCTGCAATGCCTACTTCACAGAGATGTTGAGGGACTTGAATGAGACAAAATATCTCATAAACTGGGAGAAGGGAAAAGGAGGGGGCTAGGTGTGGGTACACTTCAGGCAGAAGGGATTTTGCCCTCCTAGGTGAAGGTTCAGGTGCTTACATCATGGTGAGGTGACCTCCCTGAAAGGCCAGTACCTGAACCAGAAGGGAAAAGTTGGGAGCTTGGGCAGCCATGGGGGACCAGCAGGAGGAAGTAGGGTAGTCTTGGGTGATAATTGGTTAAGGGGGGAGAGTGTTGGAGATAAGCCCTGAAACTGGATATGCAAGGCAGGTGGGCTACCTCTAAATTCTGCCCCTCTGATTGGTTATCCTTTGGGATCATGCTATGGCTTCATGAGAGTGCAAAGCTCTCCCTTTGAGGATAACTGTTCTAGAGTACTGGAGAAGAACAAAGAAGTGACGAATATTTAATATATAGGAACCTGGTATCCAAGCAGAGATTCTCCAAATGAAGATACAATTTCTTTTTTTTAAAATTTTTTCCCCCCAATTACATGTAAAATTTAACATTCTTTTTTTTAAATTTTGAGTTCTAAATTCTCTCCTCTCCTTTCCCCCCTCATTAAGAAGACAAGCAATTTGATACGGGTTATACATGTGCAGTTATACAAAGCGTATTTCCATATTAGTCATATTGTGAGAGAAGAAAAAAATACAAACCAAAACAAACCAAGAAAAATAAAGAAAGTAAAAAAAAAAGTATGCTTTGATCTGCATTCAGACTCCTTCAGTTCTTTTTCTGGAGGTGGTTAGCATTTTTCATTATGTGTCCTTTGGGATTGTCCTATCATTGTATTGCTGAGAATAGCTGAGTCATTCACAGTTCTTCATTGAATAATATTGCTGTTACTATGTACAATGGTCTCCTGGTTCTGCTCACTTCACTTTGCATCAATATGTGAGCCTTTCCAGATTTTTCTGAAAGCATCCTGCTCATCATTCCCTATAGCACAATAATATTCCATCACAATCACAGTTTGTCCAGTCATTCCCTGATTGATGAGAATTTCCTCAATTTCTAATTCTTTGTCACCACAAAAAGAACCACTATAAATATTTTGTGCAACTTTTTCCTTTTCCTTTTTTTTTTTTATCTCTTTGGGATACAGATCTGGGGGGACTATTGCTGAGTCAAAAGATATACATGATTTTGTAGTCCTTTGGACATAGTTCCAAATTACTCTTCAGAATGGTTGGATCAGTTCTTAACTCTACCAACAATACATTCGTGTTCTAATTTTCCCACATTCCCTCCAACATTTGTCATTTTCCTTTCCTGTCATTAGTCAATCTGACAGATGTGAAGTGGTACCCCAATGTTGTTTTAATTTGCATTTCTCTAATCAAGAGTGATTTAGAGTTTTTTTTTATATGACTACAGATAGCTTTGATTTCTTCATCTGAAAGATGTCTATTTGTATGATTTGACCATTTATCAATTGGGAAAAATGAAGGAACAATTTCAAGAGCTTTTTAGGTTAAAAATAAGCACAATTTACTTCACGTTATAAATCCCCTGATTAGAAAGCATGTGCAGTACAACTAGGGATGAAACTGGAAATTCTAATACCTGGGGCAAATTGGGATCAAGGGAGACTTTGAGGAGAAACTTCAGGTGGGGTGTGGTACATAAAGGCTGAGAACCCAGAATACCTTGAGGCTATTTCTAGAAAGGCCAATGCTGGGAGAAGCAGCAAGGAAAACCAGGAAGAACATACACTCTTTCAGTGTCTGGTGCCCTGGATAAAAGGCCTATTCATGCTACCCTACTTACAGCTCTGAGTAAGAAACACATGGTCATCATTAAGTTGGAAATGACACTGTATTTAACATCTTGACTATCCCTTCAAAAAAAAACTTCATAAGCTTTAAATTTACTAGTTTGTTTTTTTTTTTTTGGTGAAGTCGGAGAAAAGACAAAAGTCTTAGCAAGAGCAAGATTTTCACCAGTTGTTCATGTTTAATTTGAATTGAGGACTTGGAAAGGGCCTTGTATTTGCATTCCTGTACTTAGCATAGTGCCTGGAACACAGTAAGCACTTAATAAATGCTTGTGGACTTGACTTGAGAGTAGTCTAGTCCTTTTTCTGACTCATAGATTCTCCAACATGTAGATACCCAGCCTCTATTTGAAAACCTGGATCGCCTGTGAGTTCCCTGTTGTTATTTCTGCATCTAGGTTCCCATGATATGTGAGCCCATTCCATTTCTGGCTAACTCAAATTGTTAATAAGTTGTACTGTAGTCATCGAATAACTTTTTTAAAACGCACAGAAGAAAATAGAAAGAAAGCCAGAAAGACGCAGAGACAAGCAGATCAACTTTGAAAGTTAAATGTTGACTTTGTCGTATGACTAAAAAAAAACCAAACCAAACATCACAGATTTATGGTTTTATGTACCTTCTTTTTTTTTTCCTGTTCTATTGTATACGTGGAAATATCCATATTGGTTGATGTTTGCTAAGTTCAAAATAAAAGCTAAATGTGTTTTTAAAAATTGTTTTTTACATTGAGCCAAAATCTGCCTCCCTGTTGATTTTGGCCTTGCAATGAATTGCTTTGGGTAGGGAAAAGGTGCTGGGAGGTGGCATGTCAGTGACTAATTCAGATGACAGATGAGATAAAGGGGTATCAGCTTAGCTTTGTTTTCTATGAGTCACCTGGTGTCCAGGGAGCTGCCCCAAACATTGGCTCACTCCAGAGCCACCTGAATCACCACCTCCTGGTTCTTTGGGGAGGACCAGGCAGTTTGTCAGGCATCAGTTCTGCTGACCCCAACAGGTCATTTGAGGGCTCACCTGGCTTTCAGGGTTAGCTCTGATGGACTGTGCTCAGAAGAAAATACTGATAGAAGGAGAGAAGCAGAAAGCTAAGGTCACCACCAGGGATGGAGCTGGCATTATGGAGGGCTAACTAGCTGAAGACACACAATCTAGCTTTTTTACACAGCTCCCAGGGGGAAATCTTCAGATGGGTTTGAGGGAGGGTCTCCTAGACCTTTCATTGGTGGGCCTTGTTCTGGAAGCCTTAGTGGCTGGTGGTTATCCTTCATTCTTGAAGAGGACTGGAAAAGGGGGCAAAGCCCAGGACTCAAAAGTCTAAAGATGGGAGAGTGATGAACAGACATCATTCCTGAGCCCTTGAAGCTAGGGGTTTGCTGGCGATGAGATGTTTCCTAGAATTTGAAGACCAAATGCTTACCATGACAGCTAGGTGGCACAATGGACTGCTAGTTGGACCTGGAGTCAGGAAGACCTAAAACACTAGCTGTGTGACCCTGGGCAAGTCATGTAACCGCTGCCTGCTTCTGTTTCCTCATCTGTAAAATAGGAATAAAAATAGCATTTAGCTCTCAGGGCAGTTGTGAGGATCACAACAAAGTGCTGTGGAGCCCTTTGTAGACCTTAAAATGCTATTTTAATGCTAGCTATCATCATCGTGGCCTATGTTTTAGGTGTGGGACCCCAGATCCTTTGGCCCCTTCCTATCAATGATCTTGGGGTCAGAATGAGAAAAGATCTCTTCCCTTTCTTCTACATGGAGCTTTTAGAGATTCTGTGGGTTCAGAAGTGGGTGAGAGAAGAAGGTATGAAAAGCAAGAAGAGGGTGTGGAGCTCACCATAGGACAAACTCGCCCTTGAAAGTGCATTTACCTAAATGCAGGACCACCTGGCCCCCAAATACTCTCCTTTCACACTGGCCAAAGCTTTTCCCATTTCACCTTGTGTGTATGTACTATCCCAAATTCTACCATTTGCAGATTCATCTGCATTAAACTCCTCTTCTCAAAAGGCAAAAGCCACTGGGAGATTCAAGGAGCCATCATCATTGCTGTTCTGAAAATGAGGCCTTCCTGCTCCCACGTTCTATGGTCCCAGCAGGCACTTAATACGCGTGTGTGGAGTAGATAGGTTTCACTCATGTTGACCAAGTCCTTAAAAGGAAATAAATAGCTTTCCTCATAAGACCTTGTGCCCCAAGACTTGGAGGCAGCTAGGATAGAGCCTCGGCCTGGAGTCAGGAAGACCCGAGTTCAAACCGGCCTCAGACTTCCTAGCTGTGTGACTCTGGGCAAGTCACTTAACCCTATTTGCCTCAGTTTCCTCATGTGTAAAATGAGCTGGAGAAGGAAATGGCAAACTACTCCAGTATCTTTGCCAAGAAAACCCCAAATAGGGTATGATGAGTCAGACGTGACTGAAACAGACTGAACAATAATAATTTGTGCAAGTTCTACCCCACCCATTATGGACGAGGTAGGTAGCCACTCCTCACTACAGCAAAGCTATGAGGTGAATAGCTATCACTATCTCTTGAGCCTCAGAAGGTTTAAATGACCCTCAAGGATTCTCAGGCTTAGTCTAAGTCAGAGAGAGGATTTGAAAACAGGTCTCAGGATGTCATGATCAGTTTGCTTTCCCCAGCAGTCTTATCTTATTCATTAAACCACACCCAGATGTGGGTGTAAATTGTACCACACCCTGGCTTTGGGAAAGCCTGGAGGAGGGTAGTAAAGAGCTTGAAGCCATGAAAGGGGACCAGCATATAAGGGGCAGTCCTCTCTTGAGGATGTGATCAGTACAACTACAAGCAGAGGGAAGGGGTGTGTGTGGGGGGGGTTGCGGAGTGTCAAGCTAACCCCAGACCTGCTTTCAGCCATCTGCCTCTAAGGCAGAGGAACCCCTCAAACATCCACCCACACTGACAATGGGAAGGCTCATCGTTGGTATTTGTGGGTTAGTACAGGAAGGAGAGATGGATTTAGAAGAGTCAGAGGACCCAGACTCCAATCCCAGAGCTGCCATCTAGGTGACTGGGCTCCCTGGGCCTCATTTTCATTTGTAATATGGTGGTTGGACTGGATGACCTCTAAGGTCCTTTCTAGCTCCAGGGGAAGCTAAGCATCTAAGTGGATAGAGTGCTGGAATGGGAGCAAGTAAGACCTGAATTTGGGGCAGCTAGGTGGCTCAGTGGATAGAGCCCCAGGGTCTTCAGTCAAGAAGACTCATCTTCCTGAGTTCAAATCTAACCTTAGATACTTCCTAGCTGTGTGACCCTGGGCAAGTCACTTAACCCTGTTTGCCTCAGTTTCCTCATGTGTAAGCTGAGCTGGAGAAGGAAATGGCAAGCCACCCCAGTATCTTTGCCAAGAAAACCCCAAGTGAGGTCGCAGAGAGTCAGACATAACTGAAAATGACTAAACAATAAGACACGAGTTCAAATTTTGCTTCAGATACTCACTAGCTGCATGACCCTGGGCAAATCATTTCACATCTTTAGATTCCATTTTTCCCACCTGTAAAATGGAGATCATAAAAGCATCTACATTCCAGAGTGGTTGTTAGGATCAAATATGATAATATACGTAAAGTGCTATAGAAATCAGAGCTATTATTGGGGCTATAACTAGGTTACAAATACAGTCAGCCTTGCTCTCACTTAGGTATCAGGTACTGAAAAATGATGTTCTACAGATAACATTTGGTTTTTCTGGGGTTGGCCTGTTTTTGTTTGTTTCTTTTTTTTTTCCTTTTTTCTTCAAATGCAATGCTCCCCTGTCTGTCAATAAGGCAGATAAATACCGACAGCAAGTTTCAGGCCAGGCTCTTGCTGGGAAGGCAGGAGGTTGACTATTTATCAAACAATTTGCCCAGCTTCCTGCCTGGGGGCCAGAGTTCTAGGTCTTGAATCTTGAGCTGGGGGACCTCAGAGGCTATCCACTCTAATGCTTTCATTTTACCCAGGTGGGAATTGAGATTCTGAGATGTTAAATGACTTGTCCATGGTCATGCAGTTGGTGAGTGTCTGTGGCATAACTGTTTTTAAGCAGCCCTTTTGGGGCAGGGCAGGAGAGGCAGTAACAGCCCCAGAGCTGGGTGAGCTAATCAGGGACAGACTCTGAGGCCCATATGCCCAGCATCATGGACTATCTGGGGATCGAAGGGCAGTCTCTAACATGAGTCTATGCAGTGATCCCCTTCTTGGGGAGGTTCCTTTAGGTGGTATTCAGCTGTTTAGTCACCAAGTTGTTTCTGATTCTTCATGACCATAGTGCACCAATGCTGTCTGTGGGGTTTTCTTGACAAAGATATTGGAGTGGTTCGCCATTTCCTTCTCATCTGCTCAAGCACTCTAGTGCCCAGGGACAGGCTTTGCACCAGGGTAAAAAGAGGTCCCAGACCCACAACAGGGCACTTTGATGGAGTCAGGTGTGAACTGGCAGCTTTGTTGACCACAGCCTAGGTCCTGGTCACAGATCCAGGGTGGACAGAGCGGGGAACTGAGAAGGTGGTGTTCCTGGGCAGGGAGATCCTGAGGGGTGTACAGAGATAGGAAGAAGTTCAGAAGCCAGCAGCACTGGGGAGACTCAGACCCCAGGCCTAGAGAAGAGTCTCACTTCTAGCACCTAGCTCAGCCTGCAAAGGAATACCCAGACCAAAAAGGGGCCTAAAATTCCACCAGTCTAGACCAACAGAGCTTCCAAGCTGGTGAATAGAGTGGTGTCCACAGTCTCCTCTTGCTCAGACCCGAACCTAGGTCAGGAGCTTGTAGATCTCAGACTAGATGGGGCAGCAATAAGACTTTTCCCTTGATCAGACTGCTTTGGGAGTCTCTGAAAGCTTGCAGATCCTTAGCTTGCTTCTGAGATCCTGGAACAACAGAACACTTAATACCCCAAGAAAGCAGCAAGATCAACCCAGATCTTCCCTCTGCTATGTAGCTATATACATATAATACAATTATATGTGTATTATATATGTATGTATATTATATGTATATTATGTAAGAGGTATATATGTGTATATTACATATATATTACACACACACACATATATATGTATATATATAAAATAAGTGACTTGTCCAGCTCATACAACTAATAAATGTCTGAGATGAGATTTGAAACCAGATTTTTTTAATCTAAAGTCTACTGCTCCTTTCCACTGTATTATGTTGCCTTTCAATTCATGGAGCCATGATTTGAACACATGGTCTGATTCCTAGGCCCATATCAAAGATATATTTTTTTAAAAATCTTGTGTCACCATGATAAATGTCAATGTAAAATATCCCATAGCTATAACATCACCAAAGTCAGGAAGCAGGCTATAAGAATGAAGAAACAGGGGGCAGATAGGTGGCACAGTGAATAGAGTCCCGGCTCTGAAGTCAGAAGGACCTGAGTTCAAATTTGACCTCAGACACTTGACACTTACTAGCTGTGTGACCTTGGCCAAGTCACTTAAACCTGATTGCCTAAAAAAAAATGAATAACAATGAAAAGAATCCCACTATCAAAAGCTATTATGGTGGCAGAGCAAGATATGAAGACAATGATTTCAAACATCTACAAGCAAGCCTTCAAGAAAACAAAAAAGAAAACAAACCATAGCTTTGTCAAAAATTCAGCTAGAATTTTTGGAAGAGATGAAGCAAGAGTTAAGACATGTTTTTATAAATGAAGGGAGAGTGCTTAAGGAAAAAAAATTGGAAAAGAAATGAAATTTAAGGAAAAAAGAATTGGAAAGAAAATTAATAGCTTTGTGCAAGGCATGAAATCTTGTCAAAGCAACAAACTCCCTGAAAATTAGAATGTGTTGAATAGAAGCCAATGATTCCATGAGACAACAAGACATACTAAATAAAGTCAAATGACTGAAAAAAATAGGAAAAAAAAGTTAATTATCTCATAGTAAAAACTGACCTGGAAAATAGATTGAAGAGGGAAAAAAAATGAATTATTGGACTATCTGAAATGCCATGACCAAACCCCTCCCCAGAAAACCCACAAAACAAAAAACCCTAGATATCCTATCTTAAGAAATCTTTTTTTTTAATTGCCTAGACCTCTTAAAACTAGAGGGCAACAGGGAAATAGTTAGAAAGATTCTGCTGTTATTTCCTAAAAGAACCCCAACCACCCCTACCCCCACCCCCCAACGAAAACTCCCAGGAACATCATTGCCAAAATCCAGAGCTTCTGGGTCAAAGAAAAATACTACAAGCAGCCAGAAAGAAAGAACTCAAACGCTGAGGAGCCACAGTCAGGATCACACATTTTGTCTTTGTATACCCAGCACCTAGTACAGTGTTTTGTATATAGTAGGCTTCATAAGTGTTGGTTGAAATATTTTGATGTATCACTGTGTCTTTGTGTTGGGGCCAATTCTAGTCTCCAGTAGTTGCTTACTGACTCATCACATAGATGTGACACTACCTAATGTTTGAAGTG